GTGAATAAATTCTTCCCCGCTTCTCTCCGGCACACGAGTCATCGATCACTGTCGCGCGCACACGAATCATACGAATACGGACGTCTGTACCATTTCGTACATCTCTCTCGCGCGCACGTCGAAGAAGACGAGAACATCGATAGACATGTATTAACGATACGGCACGTCGGAATCGAATCGGTTCTTACGCGTTAATCCCAACGTGACTCGAGCGTAATGAGGTCGGGCTGTGAATTAATTCCCGCGCGTTAATTCAACGTTACCCGAGTGCAAATAGATTGACTCTATGAATACCAACATATATATATATATATATATATATATATATATTCTTGTACATCTCACTCTGTCCATAAAGCACTTCGTCGGGAGGCGACCGTTAAACTGATTTTGCTCGAATGTGTTTCAGCTTAACGATTACAGCGTCGTGTCCCATGAACTTGCAGTATTTCCCGATGGACCGGCAACTGTGCCAAATCGAGATCGAGAGCTGTAAGTAGGCAACACGCGCGTGTATATATATACATATCTATATATACATAGGTGCATACCAGCGAACGAAATACAATTTCGCAGAGTTCGACATCCTCGCCTATGTTACTTCTACTCAACATACTACTAATACACACACACACACACACACACACACACACACACACAGACACACACGTATACTTGCGCATATTATTATGGAAGTCAAAGAGACTTTCCCATGCACTTCGATAATATTACTTCTTGGAATGACAATCGACTCGCCGTATCTTTCTGGCGTCAATCATCGATATGTACGTATGTTGGATGTAATTCTAGAAAAAAGAGATCTACGCTAAAGATTCCCGACGAGTTGGTAAGCCCGATGAGCGTGATTACGGATTTACGGGGGGATAAACGTGACACCCCGGCAGATATACCATCAATTCGTGAGATCGTTGAAAGCAATAAATGTTCGTTTAAACAAGAACGACATCGAGATCTTTGAGGAGCGATGGGCGTCAATTGTATTTTTGAAGGGTATCTCACCGAGCAATATCGCAGTGTCACGTTTAGCCCGGAATCGCGATTACCACTCGATCGGCCGTATAACCGTTCTCACTGAAGCAGATTGTGAAACGCGAACGATCAATTCCGGCATGTGAGCCCGTGCATGTAATTCGAGGATAACGCCGAAAGCGATACGCAGAAAGTATCCTTATCGATAGTCGATTGTCGTTGATTCAATGCGATTCAACTGTACATCGCTTTGAAACCTTTTTTCAGATAAACACAGAAAGACGCTTCTACCGTGTATATTTGCGTCGAGCATAAAAACTTCGTGTCCCCATCCCCTCTATTACACGCTCATACAGAGAATACTATCAACCCTCGCGACCTATCGTTCTCCACATATCCTCTCTCCGTTCCTCCCGCCGCCTTCACAACTGACAGCCTCTGCCTCCTTCTCGCTCCCTTTTCCCCGACATCAGGTTTTACTTCCTTCTTTCTTCTCTATCTTCCCCTCTCTATCTGTCTATCTGTCTGTCTGTCTGTCCGTCACTCGCCACTTCACACGCTCACTCACACAATCAGTCAGCCACACAAGTGAGAATCACTCCCATTCACCTCGTTCACTCACTCGCTCACTCACCCACCCGCTCTCGCTCACACACTGGTTGGGTTTCTTTTTTTTATTCCATACACGGTGATTGTACGTATGTAACAACATGGACTTGCAAAGTCAGGCATTTATTGTAGCTACTTTTTTCATCTTTCTTCTCTTTTTTTTGTTTTTCACGGAATAGAAACCGGTGAATGAAAAAAACATGTACATGGCGTTTCGAACGTCAACGCGAGCTGCACGTATCCGACGAATTTCATTTTCGCGAATAAATCTAGCGGATGAAAGTTTCGTTCCAACGACGCGTTCTAAAGTCGTCAAATCCGCGTGGAGTAACGCAGGATTACGTTTTTCCATGGTCGACAATCGCGTACGACAATAAATGCCCGATTCTGCGATTGAGCACAGTGTGCGGTCAGTGAGCACCTTAATAAGGAGCTTCGATGCGCCGAAACGACGGCCAGTATCGATGCGCGCACTGTATACGCAAACTGGTCCGTCGACGAGACACGTCTCGATTAATCGAGTCGCTACGTTAGGCTGTTAATGTGTCACGAGCATAGAAATCGTAGGTTGATCACAGGAGCTATAACGCGCCGTGGGAAACGTTCCAGGGCGCGAAAAAATAAAGAAACACATGCGAAAAGACTATCACGTGTTGTGCGTATGTGTGCGTATTTTGTGTGCGTGTGCGCGTGTCGATGTGTGTGATAGCGCTAACGTTTCATTGTCACGAGCTGGTGTGTTGATTGTCGCCGTCACTGCTGCGAATTGCACGGTGTGTTAATATGCAGAGGAGAATTTTCACGTCTTTTTGCCTCATTTCGTTGCCGTTTGTCCACGTGTGTTTCATATCGCGGAGTAATTATCGTTATTCACTGGTATCGGCGTTAATAATTCGTACATACGGTATAACGCATGTACCGCGCAAATTACCTGAATAAATTAACGCAACGCGGTCACTCCGAATCGGCATTATAATGATGATTACAAAATAAATAATTAGGGACTCGTATAAACGATTCCGTATGGGGAAACGCGACCGCATCTCCAGTCATTTCGCGAGAATGTGAATGCAAATTTTGAGGCGAACGGGAGCACGCCAGGCACGAAGAGCAGTCGACGAAAATAATCGCGAGACCTATTTGACGATCTTCGATCGTTCCAGGCAGAAACGCGTCGTCGATTTCTACGGGATGATGGAAAAAGTTTGGCTTTAATTCGACCTCGCTAAAAGATCTATATTAAAACTCAGTGGGACGTGGAATAGGGTCGAGGGGTCACCGGAAGTCCGGCGTACGAGATATCGCGGGGAATCGACCAAGTTGGTCGATTAGTTTCGTCGAGCAGAAAGCTCGGACTCCTGCGGACGCTCTTTCGTTCCCTTAATTGCTCCGGCTGCTCGAACGCGAGTTATTACGATCGTTAGAGTTGTCGCGATACATTGCCGCGCCACGAATTATCAGAGAATGCTCGCGCGCGACTTGCTAAACTTCCGGGATGACTCGAAAGAATTACGGCTGTCGGTTAACTTTAGCTCGACCGATTCTTTGTCGCTCTCTTGGAAAAGTTCCAGCGAGAGTAAACAATCATCTCGGCTAAACTAAACTGTCGAAGGTAACCTATGTCGGCAAAATTAATCATTAGCGTGACGAACATCGCGTTAATTGTGACGTGAATTCGTCAGTAATTCGATGGCTCAATTTGCAACATCCTGCGACTTTTGAGAGCGTTTCTCGACACGTTGACACATCCGAAATAACGTGAAAAGTTCCTGTAGCCGGCAAAATTTTGATAATGTCGATAAATGTGACCTAATGGTATTAGATTCACGTTCCCCACTGCGATTTAACATGCGAGATCGCCTCCCAAATCTTCGTTCCTATATATAACCGTGGATTTGATATGTGATTGACGTTTCTGCGCGCGAATTCTGCTTGAAACGTATCACGACTGATGCGATCTATAAAAGGAAAAGGCGAAGAGGCGCCAAATTCGTAGAACTCTGGAGAGTTTCTTGATTAGTTTCACGGAGCAGAAGTGCCAGATCACGAACCTCGTTTCGCTCTTAACTTAGCCATTAAGTCTGATATTATTATACCTCTCCGTATCGATTTTGTATTTCCGCGATGGTGAAAATGGCGCTGGCTCGCGAGTATTCCTGCAACTGCCGGTTCTCACGATCTTTCGACTCCGTAAAATACGTAAAAAGGCACATTCGTACATGTGTGTGCCCTACACACGTACGAGGCGGTAAAACTTGGGCAGAGGTGAGCTGAAATTTGAAATCGTTTCGCTGATTTTATACACACGTCGGAGTATCGAATTCATTTTACGAGATATAACCGCGTGCGATATCCGCAATTTAGAAGATGAGAGCAGACGTGCAATTTGCAGTAATCTCGGACCATAGCGGGTGAGCTCGATCGCGTATCGTTATCCATGCTCGTCGACACGAAACGATTGCGACTTTCACGGCAAAAAGCGACGAAGCCCGAACCGCTTTCCCCGTGAGGTAGCTTCATCTGTGAGAAAAAAAAAAAAGAGGAAAAAGAGAACAGAGCCAAAGGCGATACAGATCCAACGACCAATACGTTTACAGGACACGCTTTGTCACATCCTACGCAAAGACCGTATGGCGAACGTAATTACGAGCATCCTCCGAAGGGTCTCCACTCTACCAAGCTACCACTGATCGTGAGTCGTCGTCACGTCTTAGCTGAACGCGCGATTTCCCGACGATCGCGCGCGGTCATTCGAGTACGAACGATGGCCGTGCGCGTGCACGTACAACACGAGCAAAGCAAAAATACACACGACGTATCCTTCCCCACACTGTCTCTATCGGCCGCCGATGCGGAGATTCCTCGCGGTTTTCACAGCAGGCGTGCAGCGCGGCCGAGGATTTTTTCCGCGAGTCGGCAATGCGGCGGGAAAGCTGCGCGAGCGAAGGGTATCTAGTCCCGTGACGTCGCGCGACGAACGCGTTCATCCTACAAAGGGTGGAATCCCGTTCCGTCCCGAGTTTCACGACGATTTCCTCCGGAAGGAATGTACATTCAGGGCCGAGATCACGCTGAACTAGATACACCACGAAGCACACACGCACAATTGTAAATACATGAACGAGAGCTCGGCACGCCCCCCGCTGTCGCGCCGCCGAAAATCGATCCCGAGGTCGAACCGCGCGCGACCAAGGTGTGTGCTGTTTGAACACTGTCACCACTTTGCCACTCACCACTACTACTACTTTACCACCGCCCATCACTTTACCATCACCAAACCGAAACCCCCCCCCCCCCCCCAAAA